CCCCCCCCGGCGCAGGCTTTAAACGGTAACGGGAGTTTCTCTCTCCTCCCCAGGGCTTGTACCAGGAAGTAACGGACTTGCGGTTCAGGGTGACTGACATAGAGAATGACAGACTGCAGTGTGAGAAGAAACTCAAAGCTACCAAAGTGAGTGTGCTAAAAATCACTTAAACGCTCACATTTGCTATGACAGGAGATCTGAATTCAATTTGAAGATAGTCAAATGTATCATCAGATGTTTGAACCTTGTGATCTTCCCCATGACATCGATCCTCTGCTTCTTGTCTTTACTCCTATCTTACCAAATGCTTCTCTTCCTCCCCCTTTTTTCTAATGTGATTTTAACATCTTTCTGCTACACGCTAACCTGTCAAGCGTCCAAAGCGGAACAGTGGGCGGTTCACTGGAGATGAGGTGAACAAGGTTTGATCTCCAGCCTGTACTCTTCTCCTTTCTGGCCCTTAAGATGCTCTAAACCTGCCTCTTCTCCTCCACTGCTGCACACTGCTTTCCTGACTTTCACCACACTCGCTGTAAGTGCTTCACCAGTACCGATTAAAGGATTAGAACCCCTTTTTTTGGGTTAACACCTGCTAACTGAAATAACTTATTTAGGGAATTGTTTGCTAAAGTCACTCAAAGTATAAACAGTACAATTTTCTTTTCATGGTATCTTTCTACCATTATAAAGTACACATCTTGTTAATCGGTACTTTAAATATTAGCCAGAATGTTGTGTCCAGTGTTTCAGTGTGTCCACAGTTGAGTGAATTTAGTGAATAGTATGAGCTTGCACTGAATTGTGTCACAAACAACCACAGTGTGTTTAAAAGAGGTCAGAAATGAACTAACTTAATCACTAACAGCACGACTGACTAACATTTATTTTCAAATGTTATGTTAAATAGGGCACTCCACTAGTTTGACTTAATACATAACCTTTGACTAATTACAGGGTGAGTTTCACTGTGATTAAAAACACGTACAGCCTGTCTTTCATGACTCTTAATGAACTTCCGGCGATTTGAAATACCTACATTTGTCTGTTTAATATATTGTAAGTTAAATATCTTTGTGTCTTCGAGCCATCTTAAAACATTACCATTGACAATTTGTGATGGGCATCTTTTTTCATTCTTTATAGTACTAAAGACTCAACATTCATATTACAAACAACACGTTTGTGCCTTCTAATGTTTATAATGATTTGCTGATTTATAATTATTAGACATGTCCTTCACTTTTTTTCTGTTTGTACCTTTATCATCACTGTTTGGGCTAGGAATGTGTCTAGCAATATGTGTCTAAAGTTTCTAAGGCATTACAAACTCAAACGTAATGTATCCATTTATCTACCCAAGTTGAATTGACAGATCATGTGATGAGACCCATGACTTCACTCTCTGCTCCACAGGAGGAGCTGCTGCTGCTGCAGACACAGCTGGAGGAGCGAGAGGTGGAGCTGAGGAGGCTGAAGGAGGAGAGCAGGCTGAGGATGGAGAGCCACAACAGAGCGGAGGGAGGAGAGGGAGGTGGGGGCTGTTCAAATAATTATCTGGCTGCTTCACAGAGTCTAATATTACATTGATGGGGATTAGACAAATAGACATTTCACATTCCACCACCACCAGACCCTCCAGCACCCACTGTAGAAATAATGGTTGCTTTCATCTGGATTTCCCAATTCATTCTTTTTTCTCTGTCTTGCATTTCACGGACAAGATGAACTATAACGAGGAGATTAGAAGCTCGAGTTCTTACTCAACTCCTTATCTGCTTCTATAGGCTACATACCTAACATTCTGACTGCTTCACTCCTCTCTCCCTCGGCTGACCTTATCTCATCCGCTCTGATGGTGGAGGAATGCCATTTATTCAAAAGGGAGTCTCTTAACCATGCCTGTAAACTCGTGATTATACATCTGATGCAGGTCGTCTGGTTGTTGCTTCAGACGCTGTTAACATCAAATACATGCAGTCAGTGCAGCTTCTTGGTTGTCGTGAATTAGAGGAGAAATCATTTTTAAAGATTAACATTTCATTCAAAATTGGATTCTGATTAACGATCCCACACCTTACTTATCTATCTCAATGTAATGAAAAGACTTTGGATTAGGTCCTCTAGCGGTTGGCTCGTATTTAATTGTAGTAAAACACAAAGTCCTTGTTTTTGATAATCCACTCAAGATTTCACTGCAGCTAACAAACACAAGCAGAAACAAGAGCTATAGCTCACTGTTTTGATCACTTGTGCTGTTATCTGCTTTCAGAGCCA